AAAATTCCTTTTTACTTCTTGTTCCCAAATAAACCATTTGTCTCCACTTGCGTCTCATGACTGTGTTTACCGTGGAGCGTCAACTTCTACTCAGACAATTGGCGTAGGGGATGTTTAGGATTATACTTTATTCATTCACCAAATTTATATTGATGTCTGCTCTGTGTCAGGCATTGTGCTGGGGGGTTGGGGAGAGCAGTGAACAAAAGCCAAGTCCCTGCGTTGGTGGTATAGTGGTGAGCATAGCTGCCTTCCAAAAGCCAAGTCCCTGCTTTTGTGGAACTTGTATTTGTTTAGGGGTTGAGGGCAACCACACAAGAAACAACTAAATACATATTTCTGGTACATAATAAAAAAAAGGGGGGTGAGGGGACAGAGGTGCTATTCTAGAAGGAGGTAGATGGGGGACAGTGCTATTTTAAATATGTGATCAGGGAAAACTTTTAGGTGACATTTAAATAGAGATCTGGAGACATCTGGGGAGAGAAGGGTGAGCCGGACTAGCGGACTGCATTTTTTTTTTATTTTATTTTTTTAAAGATTTTATTTATTTGAGAGAGAGAATGAAAGATAGCACGAGAGGGGAGAGGGTCGGAGGGAGAAGCAGACTCCCCGCTGAGCAGGGAGCCCGATGCGGGACTCGATCCCGGGACTCCAGGATCATGACCTGAGCCGAAGGCAGTGGCTTAACCAACTGAGCCACCCAGGCGCCCTGCATTTTTTTTTTAAAGATTTTATTTTTAAGTAATCTCTACACCCTATGTGGGGCTCAAACCCACACCCCTGAGAACAAGAGTTGCCAGGCAACTGAGCCAGCCAGGCGCTCTGAGGACTGCATTTTCGAGGAAAAGCAAAGCCTCTGGTATGGCTGGAGAAGAGTAAGCAAAGTCCCTGAGGGGCCAGATCACAGGCCCCTGTAAGCCTGACACACACTCAGCATGGCTTACAGGGGCCTGTGATCTGGCCCCTCTGAGTGTGTGTTTTGTTAGGAGTGACACGAGAAGCCATTAGAGGGTTTTGAGCAGAGTGCTTTGAAAATACTGCAGTAGTTAGCATGGGAAGGGCAACAGTGAAAGGGAGATGGCGGCTGACAGTTGGAAGTAATGGAGGGGCTTACATGTCATTGGACTTCGCCTGGTCCTCCGGTTCATAGGATCTGGGGGGGGGGGGTTGTAAGAAAAAGGATTCAAAGACGATTTTAAGGTTTGGGGTCTGAACAACTGAAGAGCTGTCATTTACTGAAATGGGACAAACAGGAAGTGCAATTTGAGAGGAAAGGTTGAGTGTCGGGTTTTACACCTAATTTGACATCAGGTAGGAACAGTATGATGTTGAATGTGAGTCTGGACTTTTCTCATTACCTTCGGCTCATTTTAACTGGGCCAAGAATGAGTCAAGGGTATGGCTGAGGGCCTGCTGTTATAATGGAGCCCCCAGCCACACACGAGGCAGCTGGGGGAAGCTATCGATGAGTCCTACCATGAAGGACTTGTCTTTTGCCTCTCAGCATTACCTGCAAGTGTACCAGCTTAGCAGTCTACTTTCACAGCAAGTTGTCACTTCTGTAGCTGGTACACTGATCTGAGCGCACAGAATCCTCACTGGGAATTGACCTCAGAGAGTGTTGAGCATCTCCACCCCTCGCTGGTGTTTGAACACAGGCTCCAGGAGCACTTGGCAGTGGTGGTATATGACCAGGTAGTATTTCAGAAGAAACACTTCCAGATGGCACATCCTTCAGTAAGACAGTGTTAAAATGAAAACCACCTCCCCAAAGGAGAGGGTGTATGTTCAAGATACGTTACTGGACTTCAAGCAATGCTACCACTGGAAAAGGCAACAAGGACCATTGAGGTCACGAGTGACCCTTAAAGATGTGTTTACGGGCGCCTGGGTAGTGCAGTCGGTTGAGCATCTGACTCTTGGTTTCTGCTCAGGTTGTGGTCTCAGGATCATGGGATCAAGCCCCACGTCAGGCTCCGCACTCTGCTGGAGATTCTCCCTCTCCTTCTGCCCCTCCTACTTGGGCTTGCTCTCTCAAATAAATAAATCTTTTATTTTTTTTTTAAGATTTTATTTATTTATTTCACAGAGAGAGACACAGGGAGAGAGGGGGAACACTAGCAGGGGGAGTAAGGGAGGGAGAAGCAGGCTCTCTGCTGAACAGGGAGCCCGATGCGGGGCTCAATCCCAGGACCCTGGGATCATGACCTGAGTCGAAGGCAGACCCTTAACGACTGAGCCACCCAGGCGCCCCAAATTAATAAATCTTCTTTAAAAAATAAAGAGCTGTTTAGTAGTAGGCTGGGGGCAGAAGCCAGCTGTCTGGCCTCAAGGAGGCTGGAGACAGAGATGAACTGAAGTAGTAGACAATATATTTGTGGGATTTGGCAGGAAAAATGACAAATAGGATGAAAGCCAGAAGGAACAGAAGGATTGTAATTATAAAGTCCTCATTACCTCCTTCAACAGTAGAAGGCTTACAATTTGCTAACTGCTGTACTGGAGTTAAAAGAAAGGCATGGTCTCAAGCTTCATCAAACTTCTAGGCTTGTAAGGAAAATAGACATTTAATAAATCATTTTTTTAACTGTGTAAAATGGCAGTTCTAATAAATCCTTTGAAGGAGAGGTCCATGAGGTATTAAGAAACTCTAATAGACCTAGTTAAGGAAGGTTTCCCCAAGGACATTAGAATCTAAGATCTGAAAGAAGAGAGAGCATTAACTAGTCAAAGAAGGAGAGGGCTCTCCATGGTGTAGCAACAAGCACAAAGGCCCTGAGGTAGGAAAGAGAATGGAAAAGGCCAATGACACTAGATAGAGTACAGAAGCCCATGAAAATATGCCACCAGTTGAAGGAGGAGGAAGCTAGTCATACAGGGGTATGAGCCCTAGTATGGGATTTTGAGTAATCTCTGAGTCTTACTATGGGATTTTGTATTTTGAGAGTGCTGGAAAGCCACTAAAGTATTTAAGCAGAGCAGTGACATCACATTTGTGTTTTTTAAAACAGCAGTGTGGCTGCTCTGTGAAAAAGACTTGGAGTTGGGCAAAGAAAGGTGAGTCTAGAGGTTAGCATAGCAATCCAAGGGGAAGACAGACTGGATTGTTGCCATGGAAATGGACAAAAATGGATGTATTCAAGAGACAGGAAGTTAAGATCAACAGGACTTGGCAGTGGATTATATTGTGGGGGTTACGGGAAGGAAAATGACAAGGAAGGTGACTCACTTTACAGTTTATTTGACTAGACTAATGGTGGTACCAATCTCTGAGATTGATGACCCACCCTCCCCAGGACGAGTGCCTCTTTATTTTTTTTTTTTAAGATTTTATTTATTTATTTAACAGAGAGAGACACACCAAGAGAGGGAACACAAGCAGGGGGAGTGGGAGAGGGAGAAGCAGGCTTCCCGCTGAGCAGGAAGCCCAATGCGGGGCTCAATCCCAGGACCCTGGGATCGTGACCTGAGCCGAAGGCAGATGCTTAACCAACTGAGCCACCCAGGCGCCCCTCTTTATTTTTTTTAAGATTGATTTTTTATTTGACAGAAAGAGACACAGCGAGAGAGGGAACACAAGCAGGGGAAGTGGGGAAGGGAGAAGTGGGCCTCCCACTGAGCAGGGAGCCCATCCCTAGGACTGGGCCAAAGGCAGACGCTTAACGACCGAGCCACCCAGGTGCCCCGATCGGTGCCTCTTTAAAGGCATAAAAGGGAGGCAGTTGCAGATTAAAGATGTTGGAGAGAAAGGAATGAGGAGCAGGGTCCTTAGCCTTGGAGGTGGCCTGTGGCCCTTTTCCTCTGAACTAGAGAGAAGGATGGGGTCAAGTAAGCTGCACTCCTGTCTCCTCTAACTTTTGAGGGGTGCCAAGAAGAAAAATGAATTTCTCATCTTTAGGAACTGAGGTATACAACTGTTGGATGGCACAGGCTCCTGAATTATCCAGACAAGCTATACTACTGTTCCCGGCAACCTGAAGGTTTTAGACCCACACTATCCAATATAGCAGCCACTAGCCACATGTGGCTATTGAGCATTTGAAATGTGGCTGGTCCACATTAGGATGTATAGTAAGTGTAAAACACACACCAGATTTCTTAAACTTAAGTATGAAAAAAACAGTGTAAAATATCTCGGTTTTTTTAAATATTGGTTACACGCTGAAATGATAAGACTTTGGACACACTGGGCTAAATAAAATATAGGATTACAATTAATTTCACTATTTCTTTTCACTTTTTAAAATGTAGGGGCGCCTGAGTGGCTCCTCGGTTAAGCGTCTGCCTTCAGCTCAGGTCATGATCCCAGGGTACTGGGATGGAGCCCAGGGTCGGGCTCTTCATCCCCTTGGAGAGTCTGTTTCTCCCTCTCCTCCCCGCTCGTGCTGTCTCTTGCTCTCTTTCTTTCTCTCTCAAATAAATACAATCTTTAAAAATAAATAAATAAAATGTAGCTACCAGAAAATTTTAAATTACATTATCGGGCTTAAATTTTATTTCTGTGAGACAGCGCTGTTTTAGACAGAAATTCAGACTAGTGGGTGCCTGGGTGGCTCAGTTGGTTAAGCGACTGCCTTCAGCTCAGGTCATGATCCTGGAGTCCCAGGATCGAGTCCCGCATCGGGCTCCCTGCTCGGCAGGGAGTCGGCTTCTCCCTCTGACCCTCCCCCCATGTGCTCTCTCTCTCTCTCTCTAATTCTCTCTCTCAAATAAAATAAATAAAATCTTTAAAAAAAAAAAAAGAAATTCAGACTAGTATTCCAAGATACGACCTCATTCTGCTATTTGAATCGTCTTACGAAGGAGTCAAGCTTCCCACAGGACCACTTGCCCAGAAGGACTATGAGGGCCAGCGTGCACTGCGCGCCTTTGGGGGCGGGGCCTGAAAGACCAGCCTCTTTGTGACGTCACGTCCGCCATTTATGGCTATTCTCCTCGCTCCCACGGAGGGCGCACACCTTGGAGGTGGGAGGGGAGCGTCCGGGAGGCGGCCGAGGGCGTGCAAGTGGGGGGTGGGTGGGCCCCAAGGCTGCTGGGTGAGCTGGGTGAGCTGCCAATGCTGTCCTTTGTGTGTGAAGGACCGTGCTTCTCCCGGCGCGCGTCCCGTTTCCCGGAAGTGCCAGTATCCGCCGCGGGCGGGCGCGGGACGTATGGCCCCGCAGCAGCGTCCGCGCCACCCGAGGAGGCAGGCGCGCAGGTTGCCGCTGTTTCACGAGCCTAGAGCCTGCCAGGTAACTGGCCGACCGGGCTCCACCCCGGCTCTAGAGGCTTCCGAGAAGGGGCTGCGGCTGGGGGGGGGGGGGGGGGGGGGGCGGTGCTAAGGCCAAAGCCTTTTCTACCCTGGCAGCCGACCTGCCTTAACTTCTGTTTGAAAAGGAAGTGGGTTCTTAAACTCTTTTTGCAAGTGTTGCAACATACGGTCTTGTGGGCAAAGAAATGCCTGTTTAACCGAGCTGTTGTTTCATATGAAGTTACTCAAGACCTAAGAGAGAGTGGATTTGGAGATTTGGATTTTAGTGGACCTAGTTGAGCAAAACATTGATTCATTGCAGCTCCTGTGCAGGCTCACCCAGACAGCTACGTGAATGAGAGGATGGAATAGTTCTGGGCTGCATCATCGTAGGGAGTCAACGTTACTTTTGGCAAGTGCTGTCTTCCCTGGCAATTGTGGTTCATGGTATGCGCCTCTGGCTTAATTTCACGTTGATGCCTTGAAATGAGAGGGGAAGATCCTTTCCAAATAGAGGATTCTAGGATCTCCCATGCTTTTCTTTTGCTTGGAGGGATACATGACCTCCTGGTTCTCTGACTTTAAAGTCACAGTTTATGTCAGTTCCGGCCAGATTCTGGTTTTCCATCACTGTGGTCTGATTTAGCATGACCATTTATTGCAGCAGCAGGCCTCCACACTAGAACTCTTAAAAGATAAATTGAGGCATATTAAAAATTTTAAGTTTTGGGGGGAGGGCAAAAATAAATTCCAGTTAGGCAGCACCAAACCAAAAGTGGTTAGGAACACTGCAGATCAGAGCTAGGGGAGAGACTTACAAAGAGTGCAGCAAGAAAGGAAATTACTTGGTTGGCACAAGTTTAAGCCTGGGTTGGCTGTTTGTGATTGGTTATCCTTAGCGTTTTGCTTTTTTTTTTTTTTAAGATTTTATTTATTTATTTGATACAGAGAGAGCACAAGCAGGGGGAGTGGCAGGCAGAGGCAGAGGGAGAAGCGATGTGGGGCTCCATCCCAGGACCCCGGGATCATGACCTGAGCTGAAGGCAGTTACTTAACCAACTGAGCCACCTAGGCGCCCCGCGTTTTGCTTTTTTAACTTAGAGGCATGTACAGACTTAGATCATGGTTTGCTTACGTAGGCCACCATAGCATTAGAGCCGCATCAATCTAATGGCCTCCTTGTTTAATTAATTTAACTCAATGCTGGAGGCTTATTGTAGAAATAGCAGCTTTCAGAAGCTGCATGCATTGGGACTCAGTAAAGCCTTTTTTAAAACAACAACAAAAAATGCTGAGCTGTATCCATCACCATATGATCTCATTCTGCTAAGAAGCTTTTCATACGTTTGAGAACAAATGAAATCACTGAGTGAGCATAGGGACAAGAATAGAAGAGTTTCTAGTGAAGTAGCCTCTCAGGTCTGGTGTGCTTAATGGTTTTTTATTCATGGCTTTACGTTGCCATTGCAGCTCCCTTGCTCCCCAAGGAGCTCAAGACAATCAGGAACATGAAATGTTCCTTTTTTTGGAATATTAATGATATTCCATGGGATTTTGTATTTTGAGAGTGCTGGAAAGCCACTAAAGTATTTAAGCAGTGCTTCACGTTGTAGAAGTTGCTTTTTATATAACTTAGTCCTCATAATAACCCATAGATTAAATACTACTGTTACCCTGTTTTAACTGATAAAGAAACAGAAACAGAGAGGTTAGGTAATCTACCCAATTGGTAGCAAAGTCAGGATTAGAACACAGAAAGGGTAACTCCAGCACAAAATCCTTTGAGGAGAACACTTGACTGATGAGAAAGCTCTGGGTTTTGTCACTTCTCCTACCTGCCTCTTAAAACATTATAGGAGAAAGGGCGCCTGGGTGGCTCAGTTGGTTAAGCGACTGCCTTCGGCTCAGGTCATGATCCTGGAGTCCCAGGATCGAGTCCCGCATCGGGCTCCCTGCTCAGCAGGGAGTCTGCTTCTCCCTCTGACCCTCTTCCCTCTCGTGCTCTCTCTCTCTCATTCTCTCTCTCTCTCAAATAAATAAATAAAATCTTTAAAAAAAAACATTATAGGAGAAATTAAAGCGTTGTTTTCTTGATGGGGGTCATCAGTGGAGATTTATTAGTGGGAGATAAAGAGTCAGTCTTCTAGGAGAAGGTCGGAGAAGAGAAAAATGAAAGGTCTGAAAGGATGGAAAAGAAGACCATCTGCCCAGAAAGATAAACCTTATATGGTTAGAGTCTGCCCAAAGGCAGCTGAGGTCTGCAGTACCTGACGTGCTACTTCCAAATGAAAATTGGAGTAGCAAGGATACTTCCTCTCATGCACTTTTATTTTTGAGTAGTAGGTTCAGATTCATTAGATATATGTCAAATGTCCAACATTTAAAAAGAAACAGCTTTAAGAAATAGGGTGTCTTCTGGGGTTGGTGGAATCTGGGACGTTGATCTTTCCTTAAAAATGAAAAGGGGAGGGGCGCTTGGGTGGCTCGAGTGGGTTAAGCCTCCAACTCTTGATCTCAGCTCAGGTCTTGATCTCAGGGTAACAAGTTCAGGCCCTGCGTGGGGCTCCACGCTGGGTATGGAGCCTACTTTAAAAAAAAAAGAGTGGGGGAGAGGGGACAGGGAAGTAATAGAAGAAAATGAGGTAGAAAAACCTCTGAATGAATGCAGTCAGGCTACCCTGAAAGCCTGTTGCAGCACCTGGGCAAGAGTTGTAGCATCTTGCGTTGGTTCTCTTTTCTGTACTTCTGATGGCTGTGGTTTTTGATCAGGCTCAGCACTAACTCAGACCATGTGGACCGCAGATGAGATTGCCCAGCTGTGTTACGAGCACTACAGGAGCAGGCTGCCCAAGCAGGGGAAGCCTGAGCCCAACCGTGAGTGGACGTTATTAGCAGCTGTGGTGAAGATAAAACCTGCAGCTGACCAGGCCTGCGGCGGCACTAACAGACGAGCACAAGGTGAGGCCTTTTCACCTCCCAACGCTCCCTCTCCCCCTGTCAGAGATGGTAGGGGAATTGTTCATGGCCGGGCAGGGACAGTCCTGGCTGGTGTCAGCTGCAGTGGTGGGCAGTACTTGTGGTGGGAGCTGGCGGTGCTTGAACCACAGCCCTGGGTTGGGTCAGCCTATGGGAATGCTCTGGAGGAGTGCGCATGTGAAACCTGAGAGCTGGGGACCATTTACATTATAAGAGCTCACTTAATGATTCGTTCTTTTCCTCTCAGTGACAAAGGAAGTTGTCTCAATGGGAACAGGAACGAAATGCATAGGCCAGTCCAAAATGAGGAAGAGCGGTAAGCCCGGGTAGGGTTTAAACAACGCCTGTCTAGGGAGCTTTGGAAACCACCCTGCATTTTGTCCTTCCCTCTCTTCCTGTTAAAGGGGCCACATCAGGGGTGCCTGGGTGGCTCAGTCAGTTAAGCGTCTGCCTTTGGCTCAGGTCATGATCCCACGGTCCTGGGATGAGCCCCGCATCGGGCTCCCTGCTCAGCGGGGAGCCTGCTTCTCCCTCTCCCACTCCCCCTGCTTGTGTTCCCTCTCTCACTGTGTCTCCCTCTGTCAAATAAATAAATAAAATATTTTTTAGAAAGTGGGGGGCCACATCACTGAGGTGGCTGACCTTTCCATTCCTCCGTCACTCCAGTGGGAGGGACAGAACTCATTTTATGAATCAGAATACACAGTGGAGGCAAAGGCCACCAGGAACATGCTTTCTGCATAGATTGGAAGTTGGCTAGTATTTTCATGCGCAAAACAAAAGTTCCCTGGACTTAACTGCTTCCCATTAGGTCCAAAGCCCCCCAAAAGCAATCTCGAATTAGATGGAGATTTGGGCACCGAAAAGACTGTGGAAATCCCTTAGAGATCTGGCATCTTCACCTCCTGCATCCAGTTAGCAGATTCCTTCCCAAGTTTGCTTTCCTTTTCCCAGCCTTGCCTTCTGTGTGCCAGGACCACTGTGGATTGAATTTGATGGAATTCTATCTCCCCAAGCTCAGGTGTGATGTCAGGGTACTAAAGACTTGGATCCCTTTCCTCCAGCTATTTTCCGATAAATCAGTCGTTCTCAGCTATGGGGACATTTTTGTCCCCCAGGGGATGTTTGGTAGTGGCTGGATTCATTTTTGGTTGCCACAGCTCAGGGGAGGGCGATACTATACTTCCTGCCTCTGGTGGTAGAGGCCAGGAATGCTACTAAACATCCTACCTTCCACAGGACAGAGCCTCACAACAAAGAATTTTCTAACCCAAAATGTCAGTAGTGCTGAGTTGAGGAACCCCTGCATTGCCATCAGCGATTGCAGTACTTCCTGACAGCCCTCCAGGAGCTACATGGCCGTCCTGGCTGCCGGGGGAAACTGCTGCGTTCTACTGCTAGGAAACAGGGCCTTTCCAGGTTCTGTATGTCTTCACTAGTGTCCTGTCTTTGCCATAGGAGACATCCTCAATGATAGCCATGCTGAGGTCATAGCCAGGAGGAGTTTCCAAAGGTAAAGGCACATCCCCAGAGAATGTGACTTAGCCTGCCATGGGGAGCCCCGGAATTTGCATTTCTAATAAGCTCTCAAGTAACATTGATGATGTGGGTTTGTGAACTACACTTTGAATAGCCCTGGTCTAGACCGTGGTTCTCGTGCTTGATGCGCATTAGAATTACCTACATTTATGAGAAAACCAGATTGCTGGGCTTTCCCCCGGAGATTCCGATTCAGCAGGTCGGGGGTGGGACCTGAGAAGTTGCATTTCTAACAAATTCCAGATGATGCTGGTTCAAAGGCCACACTTTGAGAATCACTGGTCTAGATCATTCTCGTAATTCCAAATCACTGCCAGTCCCATCGGTCTGCAGTAACTCTTAGAAAGTCATCAACCAGCCAGAGTCTTTCCCTTCACTGCAGAGATTGGCTGTTCATTCTGATAACACCTTGTGCCCCATTAGGTACCTTCTCCATCAGCTCCACTTGGCAGCCGCCCTGAAGGAGGATAGCATCTTTGTCCCTGGAACTCAGAGAGGGCTGTGGAAACTCAGACCAGACCTCTTGTTTGTGTTTTTCTCCAGCCATACACCCTGTAAGTATAGTCAAGCCTTTGGATTAATGTTACATTGTCTACTTACTTATGTCCTCTTATCCATAGATATATTTCTCAAAAAAGCTCTTCTGGCTCCAGTGTAGCTGCAAACAGTGGACAGTGCCTTTTTCTGAACAGGCCACGGGGCCTGATCACTTCTCCATCAAGGAACGACATTGCAGTTCTCGATTCCCAGTCAGGATTGGGAAGCTTCAAGGTGAAACCCCACAAGGTCTGAAACCAGCAATTGGGCTTAGAAGTCCAAAGCCCTGAGTTCTATAGTGATTTATGCTGAAACTCATTCTGTTCATTCATTCAACAGATATTTTCTACTGCTTGTCAGGTACGGTATGACATTGGGTATATAGCAGTGAGTAAGACTGGTCCCTTGCTTAGCCTCATAGAATCCTTTCTGGAATGTGGATCTAGTCATGATCAGTTAAATTTTTATGAGTTATAAGGGGATGTTCGGGTGCTGTGATTGCATCAGGCAGGACGACCAGACGTAGCCTAGGGGTGACCACTGTATTTTTGTCTTGAAAATGGAGAATAATTTCTATTCCTTTTAGACAGCAGCTCAGGTATGGTAGTAAAATTTCCTTACCCTAAAACCTTTGAAGTAAGGATATAATATTGTCCTGTAAATATTAAACTTTAAAACTAATACATGCAGTTAGAGCAGATATAGGTACTACTTGCTCCGAAGAGACAGAAGAGCTGTCAAGACTTGATCATAATTCAAATCAGAAATATAATGTAGCTTAAGGAAGAATGAGTCTATCAGAAAAGAATTGGTTGAATCAAAGGCCAGAAAAATTATATACAGAGATAGGCAGGACTCATCCGTGCTTTCTTATTAGCAGCAGATAACCTGGTCCAAAAAAGGATGTTTCCTAACTCGGTGCTTCTCAAACTATATTATGCGTATGAATCACCCACAGATCTTAATAAAATGTGGATTCACATTCATTAGGTCTGGGATGAAGCCTAAGGTTCTGCATTTCTAACCAAGTCCCCATGATGTCAGTGGTGTTGGCCTGTGGACCACACTTGGAGTAGCCAGGACTTGGCTGATCCAATGGCGGGTGTAGCTTATGCTGGAGAGAGATAGATCTGTGGATCACAGCTGCCTGACCAACTAATTAGACCACATAAATCTGGTCTACAGGCTGGTCCATAGCCAAATGGGAAAAATCAGGACTATAGTGAGTTTTTCAAAAAGCTAATTTCTTTCCATGGAAAGGTTATGAGATTTTTATCTTTTTATTTTAAATAGTGGTAATTAGAGAAAAAAAATAAATAGTGGTAATTAGGATTTTTAAAGATCTTGCTTGATGGAATACAAAATTGATCACCCCCTCTGTTGATCATAAAATCTGGAAATTTTACTGGTCTGTGAAATCAAAATCTAGAACTACTGACCTAACTACCCTGGGCTGATGGGTCATCTTATGAACTGTGATGCCCATGCATGGTTTGTCTGCAGGAGGAAAGAACATTACCTGGAGGACGTGACTGTCCATCTCCCTTTGCCTTTAGTCCTCATTACTAATTGATAATTTGGTGCCTGGGTTAGCTGCTTCAGACTCTTACTTGTGAGTTTTATTAGCATGAGTCAGCCTCTAGATTTAGGCATCTGTCTGGATCAAATCTCCGAGCCTTCGGAGTGGGAGGTGGGCCCCAGTCAGTTCTCCAAAGTCACTGTCACCTTGTGAGGTCTCTGGAATTCCACCAGCCAGCCTCTCTGGCAACAGTCCCCCTTCTACATCTCTTGCCTTTCCCACTCTTAGGTTGTAAAAGACTACAGATGTATTATTTACACACTTTAGAAAAGCAACACACTAGGTTAGTGTTTGAAGAAGTAGCTCCCTTCTCAAGGGGAAGCTGTGCTTTTTACTAACCTCTGGTTTTCTGTTACTCTGTTTAAGCACAGAGTTAGGTTAGAAATCTCTAACCCAGCACAGGGAAACACCACTTGTATAATTCACTGCAGAGTGTTTACTGTGAAGATATGCACATATATCTCCAAAATGGGGAAATTGGGAACATTTTTACCAAATATTTAACCATGAAATCAGCCTCCCACTTTTGTTTTCCAAAGCATCTCACGGGATAACATTCCACAAAATGCACTTGGGAAACTGCTCATTGTAAACCAAGGGTTCTCAACTCAGGACAGTTTTGCTTCTCAGGGGACATTTAGCAACATCTGGAGACTTTTTTTTTTTTTAAAGATTTTACTTATTTATTTGACAGAGACACAGTGAGAGAGGGAACACAAGCAGGGGGAGAGGGAGAGGGAGAAGCAGGCCTCCTGCGGAGCAGGGAGCCCAATGCAGGGCTCGATCCCAGGACTGGGATCATGACTTGAGCCGAAGGTAGACGCTTAACAACTGAGCCACCCAGGCGCCCCTGGAGACATTTTTGATGGTCAGACTGGGGGGTGCTATTGGTACCTAGTAGGTAGAGACCAGGGAGCTGCTAGCTAACCATGCTTTGATGTAAAGGATAGCCCCCAAGCAAAGAATCATCTGGCCCAAAATGTCAGTACTAGGAATATTGACAAACCCTGGTCTAAGCTAGTGTTTCCAAAACTTCCTGTGATGAGAATTACCTGGGATCTTTGTTAAAGTATTCTGCTTTCCAGATCCTCCCCACTGCAGAGTTTCTAACTCACTGGGTCTAGGTAGGATAGAGCCACAAAGGGTTCTTACTCAGGAAGTTTGGGCAAGTGTTCCTAATTCATCTCAGGTCAGCTAAGAAAATAGAATTAAACTTTGTTTCAGACAGTGGTTCTCCTGTCATCAGAATGACCTGGAGAGCTTGTTAAAATACACACTGCTGCGGACCACCTCCAGAGTTTCAGACTCAGCAGGTCCACTGTGAGTTCCAAGAATTTGCATTTCTAACAAGTTCCTAAAGGATATTGATGTGGCTGGTCCGGGGGCCTCACTTTAAGAACCACTGGTTTTTAAGGGGTTCCTTCTCCTGCAGGTGGGGATGCCTCCATCATTCCAATGCTTGAGTTTGAAGATCAGCCCTGCTGTCCTGTCCATAGAGATTGGGCCAATAACCCATCAGTAGAAGCCAGTGGTGATCTGGAAGATCCTGAAGATAAAAAGAAATGTGAAGACCTGGGTAGTCCTGTGGCCAAAAAGATGAGGCATGAGCCTGGGATTCCTGACAGTGTGGCCCACCATCAGAGTTTTGGCCATCAGGAAAGTGGCCCAGTCCCACCAAGTGTCAGTGGCTCTCATCTTACTGCAGAGGAACTGGCCGCTGTCACCGGAATGGCCCCCAGTGGTGCCAAAGTGGTGGACGTTCATAGAACCGGAGCCAAATGTGTGCCAGGAGAAGCTGGAGACTCGGGGAAGCCTGGTGCTGCTTATCACCAGGTGGGACTGCTCCGAGTGAAGCCCGGCCGGGGAGACCGGACTTGCTCCCTGTCCTGCAGTGACAAGCTGGCCCGGTGGAATGTCCTCGGATGCCAGGGGGCACTGTTGATGCACCTTCTAGAAGAGCCCATCTACCTGTCAGCCGTGGTGATTGGGAGGTGCCCATACAGCCAGGAGGCCATGCAGAGAGCTCTGACTGGGAGGTGAGCAGGGAGGGAGGTCGAAGCCGGAAGAGCCTCTCCAAGAAGCAGTCTGAGAGGATGTCCAAAGAGCCGTTAAAACATCCATACGTTTTGATCAGTGGTTCCATTGCTAGGAATTTGTCCTAAGGAAATAATTAAGAAGGCGCTCAAACGTTTAGCTTTGTGTGTAGTCATGTTTAAGAAAGAAAAGAAAACCAGTGAAATGACCATGACCAACAGTAGATTAGGTGATTTTTGTTAAAGCTGATATCGATGAATGTTTGACCTGGAAAGATGCTCATAATTTTTAAAGAGCAAGTTAAAAGATTATGATGAGTTCATGTTGGTCTTAAAGTATAATATGCACATAGAAAAAAAATTGTGGGAGGATATACACCAAGACATTGGTATGATTATCTCTGAGTTGTGATATTTATGGGTGTTTTTTTTTCTTCTTTGTGGTTACTCTGTTTTTTAATTTTTCTGTAATATATATCACTACTGTAATTTTTAAAAACCATCAACATCATTGTCTTTAAAAGATTAAAGACAAAGGATGATCACTCAAATGTGGTCTTCCTAAAGAAGGGCAGCCAAGCCCAGTTAAGGCTGTGGTAAATGAGGGCAGAGTGAGGCCATGGCCAGGGGAGGCCTGTCGTGTCGGATGCAGTGCTCCCGAGGCTGAATCCAGGGAGCACACCCACTAATTCCACTCCAGGGGGGTGTACCCAGGAGAAATGAAAATGTGCATCCACATAAAAACTTGTACGTGAATGTTTAGCAGTACCAGTCACAAGAGCCACAAAGTGAAACAGCCCAGATGTGCATCAGCTGGTGAATGGATAAATGAAAGGTGATAGACTGTTAAACTGGGTTATCAGCCCCAAAAAGGAGCGAAGCCTGGCTCAAGCTACGACACGGATGAGCCTTGAAAGCTCTGTGCTAAGTGGCAGGAGCGGCATAGTGTATGATTTGATGGTGTGAAATGTCCAAAATGGGCAAATCCAGAAGTAGATTGGTGGGTGCTGGAGAAGGGTGTGGGGAGTGACTGCTGATGGGTGCAGGGTTTCTTATCAGGGGTGAAAGGTGATAGATTGTGGTGAGAGTGGCACAATTCTGTGAATATAGTAAAAAAACAAACCCTTGAATTATACACTTAAAATGGATGAATTATGTGGTATCCACTATATCCCAATTAGATGTTTTCAACGAAAGCACCCCTTTGTCTAAGACATTTTCTGTGTTTTCCCTGCTTTCCCTATTCTGAGGCTTTATAGCTGCTGTCCACTTGGTTCCAGAGCAGTGTCATGTTGGCCTCTAGATGGTATGAAAGACCCAAGAGGGAAAAACGAAGCTTTTATATTATAGGAGAGTTTTGGTTTCTGGTGTGTTTGGAGGATTCCCTAGGAAGCAGATGCCAACAAATTAATATTTCTGTTCAAGGGTTTGAAATCTTTCAAAACCAGTAGCAGGACTGGAGTTTAGAGTCCCTGAAGTCACTGAGAGGCGGTGACTCAGCTCATCGTTTTCACTTCAGAGAGATAGGAAGGGATCTTCCTCCGGCTGTAAGGCTCATATGATCTTGATTCTGTTCTGTCACACCCTCTCACCGAGACTCAGGTGTGTTGAAGGGGTCCACGGGCCTAGACACTGTCTTCCTCGAGGAGCATGCCTGAACTGAGTGCATTTTCCCTCACGTTTAGGTGTCGGAACGTCTCAGCGCTACCCAAAGGCTTTGGAGTTCAGGAAGTGAAAATAGAGCAGTCAGGTTTCCTGTTTGAACAGAGCCGCTGTGCAGTGCAGGCAAAAAGGGCTGATGGCCCCGGCCGACTTGTTCCTTGTGGTGCAGGTAAGGTATTCGCGTTCCGCTTGCCCTGGAGTAACTTTTCCCCAGACGGTGGAGTGGCCTGGGAGGGGTTGCATCCATCCAGCAGGAAGGCAGCTTGTTACCTGAGTCATCAGTAATGTAGGCTTGACCACCATGAGGCAGGTTCATGCTTGAGCAACTTTCTCATCCTGCCTTAGCCTGAGGTTCTTCGTCTTCAGATAAGAATATCATTTTTTAAACATTTAGTCCAATTAATAAAATGGGCAAAAGGCCTGAACAGACATTTCCTCAAAGAAGACATCCAGATGGCTAACAGACACATGAGAAGATGATCAACATCACTCATCATTGGGGAAATGCAAATAAAAACCACAATGAGATAACACCTCACGCCTGTCACAATGGCTAAAATCAACACAAGAAACAAGTGTTGGCAAGGATGTGAAGAAAAAGGAACCTCCTTGTACTGTTGTTGGTGGGAATGCAAACTGGTGCAGCCACTGTGGAAAACAGTTTGGAGGTTCTTCAAAAAATTAAAACTGCCCTATGATCTAGTAATTGCACTACAGGGTATTTACCCTAAAAGTACAAAAACATTCAGAGGAATACATGCACTCCTGCGTTTATTGCAGCATTATTTACAATAGCCAAGATATGGAAGCAGCCCAAGTTCACATCAACTGATGAATAGGTAAAGGAGATGTGGTGTATATACACAGTGGACTATTGCTCAGCCGTAGAAGAAAATGAAATCTTGCCATTTGGAACAATGTGGATGCAGCTAGAGTGTATTATGCTAAGCAAAATAAGTCAGAGAAAGACATATCATATTATCTCACTCATATGTAGAATTTAGGAAACAAAACAACTATCAAAGGGAAAAAAGACACAAACCAAGAAACAGACTTTTTTTTTTTAGATTTTATGTATTCATAAGAGAGAGTGTGCACAAGCAGGGGGAGATGCAGAGGGAGAGGGAGAAGCAGACTCCCTGCCGAGCAGGGAGCCCAATGTGGGACTCAATCCCAGGCCCCAGGGATCATGACCTGAGCCGAAGGCAGATGCTTAACTAAGTGAGCCACCCAGGCGCCCCAAGAAACAGACCCTTTAACTGTAGAGAACAAACTGATGTTACCAGGGGCGAGGGGTGAAAGAGGAAATGAGGGTTATAAGAGTATGCCTATGATGAAAAAAATACGTCATTTCCTTATTAGGATTGTTATGAGGATTAAATGAGAAATCCTGTTTCATGCATTGACTGTGTGCCCAGCATATAATAAGGGCTTAGTGGTTATTAGATCTTCTAATGAAGATGATGAATGATGAACCGCTTTAATATTACTATATTCTGGAGGCCAAGCATCGGAGTGGCAGCCACTGACTCTGATCTGGATAGAGAGGGAAATATTTTTGTGAAAACACTTCTGACGTTCACGGGAAACTGAACAGTTTTAACTCCAAAATCTTTTTTTTTTCGTAGCCATCAGCTGGAGCGCAGTTCCTGAGCAGCCGCTGGATGTCACTACCAATGGTTTTCCGCAGGGAACAACGAAGAAAGCAATCAGGTGCCTCCAGGCCAGGTACAGCCATATTGGGGCAGAAGGAGATGGTGGTTGTGTAGGCACCCTTTACCACTATCTAATTCCAGAACATCTTCATCACCCCAGAAAGAAACCTTGCACCTGTTAGCAGTCATTCCCCAGGCTCTACTCCAGCCCCTGAATCGGCTTTCTGTCTCTGTGGATTTGTCCACTCTAGACATTTCACTACATGAAATCATATGGTATGTGGCTTATTTTACTTAGCATAAGGTTTTTTTTTTTTTTTAAGATTTTATTTATTCATTTTGACAGAGAGAGACCGTGAGAGAGGGAACACAAGCAGGGGGAGAGGGAGAGGGAGAAGCAGGCTTCCCTTGGAGCAGGGAGCCCGATGCGGGGCTCGATCCCAGGACCCCGGGATCATGACCTGAGCCAAAGGCAGACACTTAACGACTGAGCCACTCAGGCGCCCCTTAGCATAAGGTTTTCAAGGCTCATCCCTGTTGTAACATGTATCAGTCCTTCATTCCTGTATACCATTGTGTGGATCTGACTACTGCTTTTTGTTTATCCATTCTTCTCGATGGACATTTGGTTTATTTCACTTTCATGCTATTAGAACTGGTGCTGCTGCAAATTTTTATATAATGACCTTTTAGGTGGACATATGTTTTCAATTCTCTTGGGTATACCTTGGCGTGGAATTGCTGAGTCCTGTGATAACCTTGGGTTTTTTTTTCTTTTTTGAGGAATTGCCAAACTGTTTGCCACAGCACCTGCACCATTTTAAACTCCTACCAGCAATGTATGAGTCTCAATTATCCTACATCCTTTACCACACTCATTATTGTCTGTCTTTTTTTTTTAAAGATTTTATTTATTTATTTGAGAGAGAGAGAGAATGAGAGAAAGAGCACATGAGAGGGGGGAGGGTCAGAGGGAGAAGCAGACTCCCCGCCGAGCAGGGAGCCCGATGCAGGACTCGATCCCGGGACTCCAGGATCATGACCTGAGCCGAAGGCAGTCGCTTAACCAACTGAGCCACCCAGGCGCCCTTGTCTGTCTTTTTTATTGTAGCCACCCTAGTGGGTGTGATGTGCTATCCCATTGTGATTTTGATGTGCCTTTCCCTAATAACTGTTCGAACTTCTTTTGATGTTGAGCATTTTTTTCATATCCTTATTAGCCATCTGTATATCTTCTTCGGAGAAATATCTATTCTGATCCCTTTTCCCGTTCTTAAACTTGGTTTATTTATCTTTTTATTGTTGAGTTGAAAGATTTCTTTATATAATCTGGATGCTAGTCTTTTATCACATACATATTTGAACATATTTTCTGCAGTTCTGTGGGTTGTCTTTTCACTTTTTGAAAGGGTCCTTTAAAGCACAAAAGTTTTAAATTTTGATGAAGTCAGTCAGTTTTATCTTTTTTTCTTTGATGGTTTATGCTTTTAGTGTCACAGGTAAGAAACCATTGCCTGATTCAACGTCACAAAGATTTGCTCAGTTTTCTTCTCATAGTTTTATAGTTTTAGTTCTTAGGTTTATGACTTTGACCTATTTTGAGTTAACTTTTCTATAAGGCATGAGGAAGGGGTTCAACTTCATTCTTTTGCATGGGGATATCCAGTTGTCCTGCCACCATTTTTTTGGAAAGACTGTTCTTCCCCCTGGAAGATTTTGAAAAGAACACTTTCTTGGGCTTTACCACTAGGGATTCTGGTTTCATTAGGTCAAGCTTGGAACCCAAGAATCATTTGTGAAGCTCCACAGTGATTGGACTGGCAAAAAGGGCACCATGAAAGCAGGATTTTTCATCTTCACATTGGCTTTTACTGAACTGTAGAGCATGTAGTCTGCTGGACATGGACTCCCTTTGTATTTGAAGTTCATGCATTCGCCTCACTGGTTTTTCTTTTTCTAAATGTTCAGATGATCCCACTCTGCTTTTCCCTCCCGGTAGTCTTTAATAGCCTGAGGGTGGGAGGGGCTGCAGGGGAATGGCCTCTCCACCAAAGGCATTTACATCTTGGGTCAGTGAGCTGCCCCTGAGTGACTTTTATAGGATCCCACCATTTACAGGTACAGTTAACCCTTGGAACAGTGGAAGGTTTAGGGGCGCTGACACCCCTTGCATTTGAAAATCCATGTATAACTTTTGATTTCTCAAAACCTTACCCACTAACAGCCTGCTCTTGACTAGAAGCCTTACTGATAGCATAAACAGTTGATTAACATAAGTTTCATATGCTGTATGTATTGTATGCCGTATTTTTTTTTAAAGATTTTGTTTTTGACAGAGACACAGCAAGAGAGGGAACACAAGCAGAGGGAGTGGGAGAAGGAGAAGCAGGCTTCCCGCCGAGCAAGGAGCCCGATGTGGGGCTCGATCCCAGGATCCTGGGATCATGACCTGAGCCGAAGGCAGACGCTTAACGACTGAGCCACCCAGGCGCCCCCCCCGTATTTTTTTTTTTTTTTTTTGAGAGAGAGTGCACGCACGTGCATGAGTTGGGGGGAGGGACAGAGGGAGAGGGAGAGAGCATCTTAAGCAGGCTCCACACCCAGGTGGAGCCCATTGTGGGGCTCCATCGCACGACCCTGAGATCATGACCTGAGAAGAAATCAACTGACTGAGCCACCCAGGCTTCTCCTTACATACTATATTCTCACCATAAAGTAAACTCGAGAAAAGAAAGTGTTATTTAAAAAATTACAAGGAGGGTGCCTGGGTGGCTCAGATCATGATCCCAGAGTCCTGGCATCGAGCCCCCGCATCTGGTTACCTGCTCAGCAGGGAGTCTGCTTCTCCCTCTCCCTCTGCCCTCCCCCCTGCTTGTACTCTCTCTCTCAAATAAATAAATAAAATCTTTAAAAAATTATAAGGAAAATACATTTACAATACTGTATTTATTGGAAAAAATCCTGTGTAAGTGGGCCCTGTGCAATTCAAAGCCATGTCATTCAAAGGTCAACTGTAGTTCTTTTCACTCTGAGTTGTTTTTCCATCTCTTTACTATTTTCTCATAAAAAGTTGTAATTAAAGTTTACAGGTGGATTTGTTTCTTTTTGATATGCTTATTTGCTGGCCTCAACATAGACAACAGTAACAACTTACATGTCTTTAGACTTTTTTTTTAAGTGTCTTTTTTTATTATTATGTTAATCACCATACAGTATTTGATGTAGTGTTCCATGATTCTTTAGACTTTAAAAAAGAAAGTTTTGTTCTTCGCAGCCACTAACCAGGGTTGAAATGGTCTAGTCTGCAGAGTGAGTGATAGTTACAAAATTAGGGGTGGAGATTTTGGATCATTTCCTCCCCAAGCGCCTCTGAACTTCGGGCCACTGTTTACATCTCTCAGGGGACTAGCTTTTAGCCACAGACCAGGGTGTGTGGGCAGGGCGGGTCGTACCTTCACAGGGACCACATTTCCTGCAAAGTCCTGGCTCTGCGCACAGGCAAGCAGCAGCCCCACCCAGCTGACTGTGGCTGCGGTTTGTGCTTTGCTCTTTGCTCGGGTACCAGTGCTCTTCTTCCCTAGGAATCCATGCCCTCTTTTACCTTCAAAGCTCAGCTCATCTACCCCTGCCTTCTGGCTCACAATTACCATCCTCTTTTCAAATTCCTGTAGTGCTGTTCTTCCGGCTTGTCCCAATATGTTGGTGCTCTCTGTTGACTGGAAGCACTTCACGTTCCCACACTCGCTCTGTCTCCAGTTATCCACGTGACTCTGGACAGGCCAGTTGCTCTCCGGGCCTCCGCACGTGCATCTCTGTCAAATGAGGATGTTGGAGTAGATGATCTGAGGCCTCTGACAGGTTGTAGATGTCTCTCTGTTTAGAAGGCAGACATTCCGTACAGGGAGGAAGTGGAGCGGGGAAAGAGCAGAAGCTTTAAGGTTCAAGAGACTGATATTTAATTCCTGGTTCGCTTTCTCCCCAGGGTGTGACCTTGGGCACATTACCTCTCTGAGCCTCCGTTTCCTCACATGTAGAGCAAGGGGAACTAAAAGTATGATTCACCCATGAATGTGGTGAGAAGTGCCAGTGAATGTGGTGCAGGCTTGCAGCAAACACCTTGTCAAGATTGATTTCTCCTTCCTTTGCCCAGAGAAGCTTCATACTCTGTGGAAGAGTCAGTTTCTTCTGTTCTAAAGACTCACAGGGTTTTTCATTGCTCATTCCCTCGTGCTGGCATCCTGGGACCACCTTCTTTAGAACTGTGGGGAATATGAACACGGACTGTGATGTTAGAGACATTTAATATACTAATGCAATAGGAAAAGAAAATATTTCATTTAAGTCCTTGTGTTCTTTTACACACAATGCAATAATAACAGACACCAGGTAAAAGACCCTCATTTTCAAGAAGCTTCATTTTACTCTTAAGTGTCAAATTCTCTTCCCATCCCAGAGCATCCCGGAGAGATCATTACATGCCTTATTGGATTATAAAAGAAAAGGATGAGGGATTAAAAAAAAAAAAAAAAAGACACCTAAGTGCATCTGAGTTTGTTAAAGATATGGCCAGATTAAGAATACCAATGTAGGAGCGCCTCAGTGCCTCAGTCGGTTAAGCATCTGCCTTCCACTCAGGTCATGATCCCAGGGTACTGGGATCGAGCCCTGTGTTGGGCTCCCTGCTCAGCAGGGGTCTCCTTCTCCCTCTTAGTCTTCCTCTGTGTCCCCCCCTCTCCTCTCTCTCTCTCTCTCAAATAAATCTTAAAAAAAACAATGTAAATGTATAATTTTTAAGAAATTATACATGTGTGTATAGCTTTCCTGGCTCTTTTTTTTTTTTTAAATATTTTATTTATTTATTTGAGAGAGAATGAGAGATAGAGAGCACGAGAGGGAAGAGGGTCAGAGGAAGAAGCAGACTCCCTGCTGAGCAGGGAGCCCGATGTGGGACTCGATCCCGGGACTCCAGGATCATGACCTGAGCTGAAGGCAGTCGCTTAACCAACTGAGCCACCCAGGCGCCCAGCTTTCCTGGCTCTTTGATGCACCAACCAGCAATGTTAACGACCTCACCAGGAAGAACCTAGTATTCAAGAGTGTAATCCTTGCTGCTGAAAGGAACCAGGGCTTCTTGGAGAGTGGCGGCTGCCAGGATGGCTGTGGATGATTGTTGTGCTCCATAGATGACCTGAGTGGTTACTATTGAGTAGGTCTCGTTGATGGAGGAATTGCTAGAATGGTCACTCTGTTCTGCTGTTGAATAGAACTTCAAAAAGGTCTTATTTCTCTGGAGGGAGCTCTTTTTTCAGCAGAGGAGAGGTTCCCAGCATCCCCCTTTTGTCTTTATAGGTATAATACCTTAGCATTACTCACAAGGCCATTGACTTAGGCCAAAAACATTGATATGAGAAAGGCCTATTTGTTCCTCCAGAAGGAAGAATGTTGGAACCATTTACAGAACTGGTCTCAAGAAGCTGTTAAGCTCACACTGATGGCTTCTTACAGGGACCCTGGAGGCCTTGACATTTCTCTACAATGTTGGTAGTAAATCGAATCCTTTAGGGCTCCTTCCAGTGTGGTTTAAGTGATGTGTTTCTTTAACAAACCTTGATGTGGAGCCATCTCCGGCTCCAGATGGGCATGGTTGATTGCTAAGGTTTCTTGTTTTGGTGGATGCTTCATTAATGCTCTGTAAAAATAAAGCCAGACGTTTTGCATAGTTGCACATCAGTGGCCCCTGGGCTGTAGCAAAAGTTTCAGGGACTCACCTCTCAGCGTTTCAAGGGGAAGCGCGAGTGTCTGGGCAAGACACTAGTTTATTTTTGCTGATTTATTTTGCTGATTGTGGGTGGGTGAGGTGGGCAATGGAAATGTTGAGTCTGTAAGACTCTCTAGGCTTCCTGAACAATAAGGTGTGTGGTCCCGTCTCCTAAAATGATGAAACAGACTCAGAAATCTGAGAACAAACTGGTGGTTACCAGAGGGGAGGGGAGGGAGGGGAGGAGTGAGAAGAGATGAAAGGGATTGAGAAGGACAGACTTCCAGGGGGCGCCTGGGTGGCTCGGTTGCTGAAGCTTCTGCCTTCGGCTCGGGTCATGCTTGATCCCAGGGTCCCGGGATCAAGCCCCACATCAGGCTCCCTGCTCCTCTGGGAGCCTGCTTCTCCCTCTGCCCCTCCCCCAACTTGTTCTCTCTCTCTCTCTCTCTCTCTCTCTCTCTCTCTCTCTCTCTCTC